AAGCTGGGTTGCTTTGTCTGGCGAGAGACAGGAAACAAAGTTTAAAAATTTTTTTAATCCCATGTGGTGGTTTTCAGAACTATTAGGCTCAGGGCATATTGAATCAAATTCATTGTCCTTCTATGAACATAAGAAATTAATAAATGGAATATAACTTCTGAGGGCACTGAGGTCATTTCGTCACACATGACATCCACTCTTTCAAGAAAAGATATAAAACCGAACGAAAAGTATATTAGCAAGCTTTACAATATAACAAATACAAACAAAACGTTAACGTTGCGGCTATGGAGCCTTCATCAGCACATACAAATCAAACATTACTATACAGATACACAAAATCACTTAGCTGGTATCTCGAAGCAGCCGGGTAGATAGTATCTCAGCAGAACGCCCCCACGTACCAGCTGGGGTAACAAATACCCCCTGTAGAGTACCAGGGGCCATAAATAGGGGGTTAGAGATAAAACTGTGAGAGCAGTTAAATCCCCTGAGAGTTTAAATGAAGCTGTGTTGGCAATTCAGTCCAGAGGGTGTTAAAGTCCCCATAGTATAAATAAAGCGATTCTCAAGAGACTTTTGGACTCTGTCGCTGCAGTGGCTGGATTTAATGTCGATGCAGTGGCTGGATTTAATGGCTGTCACCTCCATGTCGAGGACACCTTGGTGATTCTAGGAATTAAAGTGCAACGGTACTGGTTCCAGAGCACCATTTTGCACCTCCAAAAGATGACCGAACATGTCAGCCAGCCGTAGACCTGTTTCACCAATGTATTTCATGCTACATTTCTTGCAGTTGATGGCATTGCGGCCCTTTAAAGGGCGAGCTCAGAATAAGATGAATTCTCTCGCTATGTTTTGTAGATTATTATTTCTTCTTTAACATATTGTTTCAAATGATCAAAATAATTGTCTTTTCTGCATTCATGTTGGTGAAAAGAAAAGGAATGTATCTCTGATTTTCTTTGAAACTTAAATGTTACAGAAAAATTCTTAAAATACTTTGAATTAAGTTTGTGCCTTTACCTTGAACAAATCCACACTATTCATCCTGACTTTCTGGTATTATATTATCTTTTTTTTTTTCTTCTTCTTCTTTTGACCATTATCCCTCGATAAGTTAGGGTCAAGCTCAAACTTTTGTGGTCATATTGTGACATTTAAAAGATTTATGAGAAGCAGTTGAACTCTTAGACTTTTATCTTCATACAATGACATCCACTGATTGAACCTTTGTTCTCGGGCATCATTCTCCAAGCCTCCATATCCTGTGTCATCTCTTGCAGCTAATTCCATGCCCTCCCATCTTTTAATCTATGTCTCTAATTTACTCCTCTGTTACTCTATATTTTGTGAAAAAGGGGTCTACCTTGTTTGTTTTGTTTAGGCGTTCCAGTAGGTAGACACTAGTTACCCTGCCCTTGAGTGGTTTGTGTTAGCTTTGTTGTGGCAGGGAAAGCTTTGTCCTCTACTGGCTGCTCCTGTCCGTTGGGTTCTCAGTGCTGTATGCTGTGTTTCTGCTCTGATGAAGGGACGTGTTTCTCCTCTACTTGCTAACTGGTAACCACCACTGTAGATTTCGGACTAGTTTCCCTGCTGCTGGACGCCACGTGTTGCATGGCTAGTTTTTTTCCCTTGTGTGTCGTATCGCCGACTTCTTCAAACGGGCTATTTCTCTTGACTGCTTCTGCTTCTTTGAGGCATGTGTTGAGTTGCCGTGATAAAAACAATGGGATCATAGCGCGTAACTGATTATCGAGCGTTTCGATTGGTCTCAAATTGTGTGATGTAAATATTCGCACTGGAATTTTGACACCTTCACTGTTTCCCTGTACGGACTTGCAAGTAATATTAGGTCAGGACAGTTTCCTTGTCTGGTGTGAGCACTGGAAACAATATTTCATCACACATAGTTTTACCATTTGGGCGTAGGTCATAGTAAATATAGAATCCAGTCTAAAACCGGTGGCCTCTCTCATCCACGTTCGGTTTAGAGCATATGTTAAACGTTTCCCCAATCAATGTGTTTCCCATTGCAGTGCCGATATGGCGATTCTATGCTCGTTTCTTCCCAGCAGGTGCCTACCAAATTTAACGCTGTCTTCTTTGTCTTATAATTGTTAATACCAGTGGTTGTCCAGGCGTTATCTTATTTCATTACCAGTCTTGAATTATTCCATTTAATATTCAACAACAAAAGCAATTGTTCTGTATGCTCTGTGTACACCACTCACCATTTGACAAGTTAGATTGCCGGAAAGGCTTCCTCTCCTGCGTGATTCTGTGGAATTAATTTTTACAAGGTGGGAAACAACATCCCCAAAGTTCCTCTAATAACGACGCTCCCAAAAAAAAAACTGATTATAATACCACATATTCTAACATCGAAAACGTGTTTGGGCAAGATTCACCTAGTCAGGTTAGAGTCAGTGACTGGTCATTATCCATTATCATTATATTATTGGTTTTATAAGCTCAAATGCGCTTCGTACGTAATGCCGGGGTACTGGTTTGAATCCAAGCAATGGGGCGATTTGAGAGCAGAAAGTCTTGCATTGGTTTCGACAGTGGTACCGAGAGCTGACCTTTCGGTGCAGTGGCAAACTACTCAACGTAAAATGTTCCCTGTATGGGTTCCGAAGCTCTTTTGTGGGGGAAACAAGAATAGACATACTGCCTTCGCAACAAGCATGTCATAGGAGTCGATTATTTGGGGACATCCTCCGAAGTCAGAGTACATCTTGCTTGAGAGGCTTCGACCAACGAAGCCAGGTCTGTGAAACGGCTGTGAAGTTCGGGGTGGACGAACTCCCAGAGCTTTCCGTTGAAGTTTACAGTCAGTGAAAGTGATGAATAAGAAAAAGATTAACGTAAAATGTGCCTAGAAACCCACATTAGCCACACACACACAAAATGCTAGGATTGGTTCTGCTTCTTTTTCTTTCTTTTGTCAGTATCTGCTTGTGCTGCTAGGCGCACTTCATCAGACGATCGGCAGCCAAGTCAGGGCGCGCCAATTCGATTGGTGTGCCGTAATGTTATGCAGTCTCAAGGTATCAATGACTCTGCAATATTCTTTAAAAGATATGCATATCAGGTCGGTCCTAACTAAGATCGGTATAAAGAACGAGCGATACCGATATTGAGGTGGAGTCATAGGGACAGGATGCCGTGGATCATATTGCTTGAATGGGTGGGATGGGGAAGGAAGGAAATAGGGACAAAGGAGACGGGTTGTAGGCAGGTTAAAAGCTGAGTGACTGAGAAGAAACATGTCAGTTACACATGGTAGCAACAATGCTCCTGAAATGGCATGCACTTATTGTGGAAGATTCATCTTCCCGTGAGCTGGTCTTGCCATTTATATTCGCCATCGTCACTAGCTGTAATTCCCATGTCTGCCTCTGGCACAATGGGACATTATCATCTGGGAATACAGAAATGTGCCATCTAAACGAGACTGCTACTACTCTTTGTTTTACGTACGGGTCTTGGTAATACAGCTGGCCATGTAAACCGAGTATCATACCAGGCGGAGCCGCCGTTGTGCAGTGAATAAACGATCGGAGGTCGTGGATTCTAATCCGAACGGATTTTTGACTTTGTTCAAAAATGATTTTTTCCCCCTAGGTCGACTTATCGGTAATACACATGTGAAGTCCTGAGGAGTAAGTACAGCTGACGGGAGGACACCACATCACTTACCAAGTGCATATAGTCTATATAAAAAAAAAAAAAAAAAGATCTAGCCCTATATTTCTAATACGCCTGAAATCAAGGAAAGTGTTCCTTTATTTACCATTTCTAGCGAGTCAGATTCAGGTAGGAGTGGTCAGATGGCCTGGGCGATTTTCAGCATGCAATGGGAAAGACATGCTGACTTTTACTCAGGTTTTAGCCGGCACGTTCAGGAAACTATTCGCTGACTATTGAGGAAAGGGCCATGATAAGTATAGGGATGTCTCAAGTGCAGTGATATCAATTCTTGATTTATTCATCCATAATTTTATTTATGTTTTATACATTCGATCTGGTCCACAATTTTTTTTAAGGGGCAATTGGGGGGGGGGGGGGAAATCCAGAAACCATGAGTTATAAACCTTTTGGCTCGGTACTATTGATAATATCGCAACCCTTCGGCCTTGATTCTATGATATATACCATAAATCTGGCTTTTCTGTCTACCCCCAAGCGTGAACTCGGACCACAAGAAGTTTGTCACCCGGTCGCAATGTAGCTGGTTTAATCAAATTAGCTAGCGCGCCGGGGTATCTGGTCAGATATATCAGTATATATGAATTCAGCATTTATTTAAGTTTTATCCTTTTCAATTCTTCTGGAGGTAAATGAGGTAACCCCAGTAAAACTACAAAAGTCTCTTTAAAAATGGAAACTATTGTATTATTTCTCGTCCTTGCTCTGTTTTATTTATGCATGTGCTGATAAAGGCTCCATATCCGCAACGTTCACATTTTGTTTGTGTTCGTTTTATTGTGAAGCTTGCTTATATACTTTTCGTTCGGTTTTATATCTTTTCCTGGTAATGGAGGCTAATCGCCGGAACGTTCTTTGATTTGTCTACCGTAATTGGTCACGTACAGCTGGAATATATTTGTGTTTTTCTAATCTGTTTTGGGGTTTTCTGAACACGAGCGCCAGTTTTCTGTAGCAAAGTATTTGTTTCATATCTTTGCCAGAGAGCGAACGTTTTTACGATGATACTCATTGAAGGTTTACTGGTCCGGTGAATATTTTTAACTTCCTTCCTTCCGGGATGACGTCACTTGGTAGAGTGGATGGTAGACGATAGGGACCGAAAGTGTGAGTCTCAAATAGTCTAATAGAACAGTGAAACCATTTTCTTTCACAGCCGTTTACATCATTAGCTAGATGATTCTTACGTTTTCCATATGGCGTTATTATTCCGGTGACAGTCAGTAGTTTGTATTCGGCTCAAACAGTCTGCTTACCCTGAATCATCATTTCAGTATTTCCACAAAATGAACGGGCTGTCATTCAGCGAGTTGTGTTGCTTGTTCTGCTGCCCACCCTGTCCGTCTCGTATTGCGGCCAAACTTGCATTCCTCCCACCAGAAAAGACCTATGATCTGATTTCTGACGAGACTGGATCTCGATACAGTTTGCATCTTACAGAGAGAGCAGAGTGGCAGTACAGCCAGCGAGAGCTGGATAACATTGAGGTGTTCTACACACGGACTAGCAAAAACAACAGGATAGTGTGCATGTTTGCCAGATGTACCCCCAACGCGAAGTTCACAATATTATTCAGCCATGGAAATGCTGTTGATTTAGGTCAGATGAGTAGTTTCTACATTGGACTAGGCTCAAGGATAAATTGTAACATTTTCAGCTTTGATTACTCAGGTTATGGAGCAAGTGGGGGTAAACCATCAGAAAAAAATATTTATGCAGACATTGATGCAGCATGGCAGGCATTGCGTACAAGATATGGGATAAGCCCACAGAATATTATTTTGTATGGACAGAGTATAGGTACAGTGCCTACTATAGATCTTGCGTCTCGATATGAAGTTGGAGCTGTAATACTCCACTCGCCTTTGATGTCAGGAATGCGGGTTGCCTTTCCTGAGACTAAGAGAACCTGGTTCTTTGATGCTTTCCCAAGGTTAGTAAATAAACATGTGTTTGTTTAGAATTCAAAATGTTTATAATTTATTAGTTCTTACATATTATTTTGTCACAGAAAAGTGAACTGCATCTGATGGCAAAGGAAGGATCACTTGTCAGCAGGTTGAGGCAATGTGGTGTAAAGGAAAAATAAAGCAATATGTTATTATAAATAATTACATATTTATTGACATTATAGAGAAACAGTACAGTTAGTACTCTAGAAACTGGTGTGAATGTAGATTTTTTTCCGAATGAAATATATCTTCGCTTCCATGTGGCGACCTAGCCAAACATGGGCACCAGGTAATATCTTTTGAAATAACTAACAATAGCTAGCTTGATATAAGTTGACCACATCACCCACCAGTAGGTTTGATAAAAATATGTCTATATGCATCCCTGGCATAAAAAGTGTCTTTTACTTTCCTTTAATTACTCACTTAACTCTTTGAGTACCAGAGAACACAGTATGCATTTTTTATTTATAAATAATTTATAAATATACTCTGGCATTGAAAGAGTTGACTTTGAGCTGACAGGTCTTCCCATTCTTTTACATTTTAATTTTATTGGTTTGTCTTAAGTTTGCATCCTTAGCAGTGAACTGCCTACTTACTCAAACTTTGCTTCCTTAAAATATGTATAAAAAATATTTTTACTCAAATGTTTTTTTCTCTGATCTGCACATTTATTAGCTATATATTACTATTGTACTTTTCACAGAGGAAGGTGCAGCAAAGGACAAAAATGAAAAGTGCATTTAGTGATGCTTAGTTGAACTTCATGTGTCAAAAAACTTAATGGGGGGAAAAAACCAGATTATAATGCCTCATATTCTAACATCGAAAACGTGTTTGGGCAAGATTCACCTAGTCAGGTTAGAGTCAGTGACTGATCATTATATTATTGGAATTGAAATTGATCAAGCGCCTCTTGCAGAAAGGCTTCATTAATGACACCAAAGAAATTTGGGGATTGAATAGTCAGGGAAATCCATATAAGAAAATTGTACGTGAATTGTTGTTAAAGAACACAGAACCAATATGACCACATTTTGTGGGACAAATGGGGAAAAAAAAAATATTTAATGTAATAGTAATTGCTGTTTGATGTACTGAGTAAGCATTTTAGTGATAGGATACACTATAGTTTCCCTTGTCTGAGATCACTAAATGAAAAAACCTACTGCCCATGTGCGTTCTTTGGCCCTATTTTTTGGAAGAAGATAGACCCTAACAGGTGTGGCAGAAAATGTGACAAATTAGGGGTTTTCCTTTGATGTTAGAGTGCATCTGCAGAGAGGCGTGTAACCAAGTCTTCATACATAAAAAAATGCCAGATCTGGTAATCTTAGTTTCAGCTTCATAGCAAATGGGTTACCCTATAGTTGCTTCGCTCCTGTGCCAATAAAAAACACACAGAATGTTTATCACAGTCCCTTGTGGAAAGATTGACATACTGCTGTCTAGCATATGTACTAGCATACACACGCATTAAAAGCATATGGTAGCCATCCGAAGTGCTAACACAAACAGTCCGACACGCAGTCGATAAGAGGCTCTCTTTTAACTCCAGCTGCGACTCACTGCAGCCCATGGTTGGTGTTCCCGGGGTTCACCCAGCCTCTAGAAAATGGGTACCAGTGTTGGTGTGGTAAATGGAGGAACGTCGCTGTCGCTACGGAGTTACGTGCGGACGGCGACACAGGCGAACAATTTTTATCAGCTGTCCGTACTGGTGGCAGAGCACGTATGGTTTATAACCGTGTGCAGTGACGCTGGTTTCACAACTCCCGACTTTACCTTTTTTTTAAATTAGAAATTCAGTACATCATGGATGGTAGCTAGCACTAGCAGAAGTCACCAACGGATCAGCAGTTGCACACGCGTTTAATTTTATTCACAAAATGGCAACATCGATATTGCGACAACCAGCATCATGCCATTTTCTGAATCTACAATTCACACCACCATGTTAGTCACAATAGAAAAACATTCTAAATGAAATTCGCAGCTCACAGTGTTATGCCATGCACTAAACTCAGAAGCTGGGCAACAAAACTATATTCTTTCAGTCTACAAATGGAGCAAAAAGGCAACGGCCACCATCTGGCAGTAGCAAACAATTTGCCACGGCTCAAAATAGTGGCCGTGCCTCGCGTCCGCTTTGACCGTCTGATCTATAAAATGGATGTGCATGCAGCCCTCAGGTTCTGGAATATGACAAGCCCAGAAGTGGGCGAACAAACCGAGTTTCCCACAGGAGTTTATACTGGTTGACACTTAGAAAAACTTACTAGAATGCTAGCGTTATAGAATACAAATTAAACACAAACGTTTTTTAAAGTATTATTTATTATAATAAAATTGTTATAGTATTCTTTCCTTTACCAGAGCTATATTAAAGTATGTCACTTTCTCTTATTTTCAACTAGCTCATTCAAAGTTGCCCTGTTCTTTCGTATTGCAAGCAGTTTAGCACCCATCCTTTCCACCTCAAAATCTACATTTTCAGGATACACATGACAGAAGGGTAAAAAATTCACTAAATTATAATGATGGGGTCTTTATCCCAACACGTATTAATGCGATTGTGAGCATTTTCTGATTAATTCATTTCAGTAATCATTTTTCTTTTTGCTTCCAGCATTGACAAGGTGTCGAAGATTACTTCTCCAGTTCTAGTTATTCATGGGACAGAAGATGAAGTAATTGACTTTTCCCATGGTCTGACAATATATGAGCGCTGCCCCCGTACAGTGGAGCCATTGTGGGTAGAAGGAGCTGGCCATAATGATGTTGAATTGTACGGACAGTATCTTGAGCGCCTAAAACAGTTCATCAACGTCGAGCTTGCAGTTAACTGACTAGTGGCCACAGAGGAATCTGTTCAAGACAGAAATGACTTGGTGGCGGAGGACATACCATCTGTTCCAGCAGCAACTGAGGACCTTGACTTGTCCCTAAGTGTCCCTGGTGATATACCACTGGAGGACGTATCTGCCACCTTGACGTTGCAACCTTCTCCACCTGAGGAGAAAGTTGTTTGATGTTACTTACCAAATCACTCAGTTTTATCAAGGTGAATCATCTTTAGAATGTCAGGTATAGGCAAAGCATTTCCAAAATAATCTTTAGTGCACATACACATGCACCATACATCTTGTGTCCTTGGTTGCCAACCCTTGCCAGTTTACTTTTATATATTTTTAGAAGGTTCTCTCTGGTGCAGTTTTCCAGTAAATTGTATGATTAGCCAGCCAGTAAGATGCTGGAAACAATTCTTTTTAGCGCTGCAAACATGAAAGTATTTTTTTGTTCTTTTCTTACTTTGTTAGTAAATTATTTACAGTGTTTTCAAAATTGTCAGTTATGATTTTGTTCAAGATTGGAATATACTTTATAATTTAAGTTTCTTTCAACTTCATCCCTAATTTTTTAAAGAGGTTCTAGACTACAAACATATGAAAAATATGTTTGCTATGTAATTTTGATACTTAGTTAAAACAAAAAATAGTGGTTAATGGAAACACCCTAGAAGCAGTTCAGCTTAGGGAAAGAAAAATATGTACCCTAGAAGCATTTCAGATAAGGGAGAGAAACATATGCACTGACACCTGAATGGACCAGATAGCAATAAATGTTAGAGCTAGGTCATTAAACTGTCTTATTTACATACATTTACTTGAAACTTCCCATTACATTAATCAATGTTTGAGAAGTTTTTGTTTTATTTTGGGGTGTGTGTGTGTGTGGTATCATACTTTAATTATTTCTGGAGGCTGGTGATCTCAGAAAGAAGAATACACAAGATTGTCATGTTTCACCTTGGTAGAATTGAGCTTGAGTAGGTTCCTCTGTGAGTACATGAAATGTATATTATTTTAATAGTTTTACTGTTTGGAATTTGGTTGTTGTTTATTTTTGTCATAAAGAAAATGGAAGTTTCTTCAGAAATGTGTTTTATATTTTAAAGACAAAATTGTATATTTAGGCATTTTTGTTGTTAGATTTTGCATGTTGGATACATTTATAAGGAGGATGTGTTGTATGTTCTTTTTAGGTTCTAATGCAGCAATATTATAAGAGCATTGTGCTAATTTGTCACCATTTGTGTGATTTTCTGTTGGTAATACACAGTGTAATGCAGTGCGTTGTATTGAGTGCGTGTGACCAGTAGTCAAAAGCATGTTAGGGTGTTGCTGATAGATAGAAAGAGAGAGTTGCAGGGAATGAATTGTTATTTTGAAACAATTAGAACATCCACAAAGTAGAAGTGTGAGCATCAGACAAGCATGTATGTTATGTGTTGCTCTGTTATGATGAAATCTTAGCAGAAATTTGGGATGTAGGGCTGTGGCTTACTCTGGCATTTGTTAGCTGGAAGGCTGTTTTTTTATTTCTAGTTATGATCGAATTTCTTTCTGATTATTTCAAGCTTCTGTTTTGACCTGATTTGAGTTGAGTCAAGAGTTGACATCACAGCACTCGGAGCATTTCCATGTGTGCTCCATCCTCACCTTCAGCAGCCAGCGTAGGGTTCCAATACTGATGGTACCGGTCACAATCTGGTTATATGTCTGTCTTGCCTTTCCTCTGGGTGTAATGAGCTGACCAGACCCGCTGGTTACACCCAGGTGCCTCATTATCTCCAGGCCATAGTAATCCTGTTTCTCTGCTGATTCCTCTTGCTTTTGTTTTGACCTAGGCTAAAGTAGTCTTCGTGTCAACTTTTGCAAGGCGTCCCTTCTGTGTTCAAGTTAAGACATTATTGGTTTATGCAAGAATGTCAAGTACTAGGAACTTTTCAACTGCAGAGAAGCATATAATATTTTCTCTGATGTTTTACTTTATGACATGAGCTAGGAGGGAAGCACATTAGTACCATTTAAAGGTTTAGATAAGAGAAATGATAACCTTTATATTGAAACAGTCAGTATGTACTTTAGGGTGGCTGTAGCATCGGAGGATGCTGCAGTATGAAAATGCCCAGTGTTCAGTGACGTCAATTGTAATAACATAATATTGAGATCGACATATGCATGCCGTGGTTCACTATAGCACATAACTGACACCAGCTCAGTGCCTAGAGGGAGCTCAGATACACACTAGGCTTTGAGGTGACAAAATCATTGTGTGTATTCCAGGGCATCACTGGGGGTGGGAAAAAGCCCCCCAAAAAAAGCTTGTTGTAAGAGGCAACTAATTAGGGGTGTTCCCTACGAATTCTGAGTACATCTGTCTGAGAAGCGAGGAGCCAGCAATCTGTAGAAATAAGCCAAATATGTAAAACAAATATGCATACACAACTAGGAAGTTCTAGAACAAGATCAAAGTCCAGAAATGGATAAAAAACCAGAACTTTCTGCAGTAGTTTACAGTTGGTAAACGTTAAGAAACATAAGAGGTGGCAAAAAACAGGGCTGAAGAGAAGCGGTCACATCCTGTCATTTAGCTGTGCTCGTGTCTGTATATTGGCAGTAGTTTGCATGTTAGAATCGACACTGTTGGGGAATTTTCCCCTTCAGAATTTACCTTGCCTCTCAGATCAAACCAGCCCAAAATGGGTACTAGGTAATGTCCTGAGAAAAAAGTGCGGCACGGATGTTGACCACAGATATTATGTGAAAAAAAAGGTCCTTTAACTCACAAAGTAGTATGCATCATGTGGTGGCAGCAACGGTCCTGAAATCCTATGATCTGATTGTGGAAGACTTTTTTTTTAACATGGGCAGGTTTTGCTAGTCACTTGCTATCGCCATAGGCTGTGATTCCTATACCTCCCTAAAGCACACTATAACACTGACGTCTGGAAAGACAGGAAGGTGCCAGTAGAGAAAGAGTTTACGTCATAACATCACTTGATTAGTAGAGATTATGCAAGGCATTCTGAATGAAGTGAATGATACATATGATCTGATTATCTTTATTGGTATATCCTTGTTGTGATTCTTGCTGCTACATACATCCAGTTTTTAACATATTGATCCTGGACAATCGGTGCCAAACAATTTTTAAGAGGCCTCAGAGATGTGGTTTTACAGAAGAATGCTAGAATACCTTTTTAAAAGAGGCGGGAGCCCGAAGACAACTTATCACTGTTGTCATCATTTTTCGGCCATGTTATGAGAAGAGGGAAAATAGAACATGTTGTGACCACTGGAAAGATCTGTGGAAGGAGGCTTGACAGTATCGCGGATTATGGAGAGGCATGATCGCCTAGCCAGTCGACAAGGAACCTGATGATAATGATGATGATTCCGGGGCATCACGGGGGTGGGAAAAAAGCCCCACCGAAGAGCTTGTGAAGGATTGATATTTTGTTGTTGCCCCCACCGAAAACATTTGTGTTATCTGTGTAAGCCAAATATGTAAAACACTGTGACAGATGAATGTGTATTTAACTGTGCTCGTGTCTGGATTAGTAGTTTGCATGTTTCGACACTGTTGGGGAATTTTTTCTGTTTACTAGTAATGTCCTGAGTGACATGTTCACTGGTGCATCATATGTATCCTATGACTTGATATTGTACAAGTGATTTGTTTAGTGTTATGTATGACATTGTACAAGTGACATGTTTACTGTGTTCTGGTCTACAGGTTACATGTTTAGTGTTTTCTGTGACATGTTAAGGGTTGTATATGATTTGTACAAATGACATGTTTACTCTTATCTGGTGTATATGTTTCTAGGTAACTATCAGGTGGCAGGTCCAGTGCAGAGGATTGCTTATTTCACAACCTATTGGAAAGGCACATTACACAATTTTTCTCGAATATATTTTATAATCATCGATACTACTTAATGTTAATTCTGTAACTGTGGTTGTGTACAGTTTAAATATGTGTCTCTGTTCATGACAGTTATCATACAGTTTGTTTCAGATTATTACATGTATATAAATAAGTTACTTTCCTACGTAATAAGTGTACATAAATTAATACAAACATCTTATTGTCTCTGATAGTCACCATTGATTTAAAGGTATGTTGCAGTTGTAAAATGTTACTTACCACCATTGTATTTTTATAATCAGCTGTCTGTATACCATCAGCAGGGTGGCTGTTGTTGTTGAAGATAGTCTGTTAGTTCTATATTTACTCTCCAGAGTGTTCAAATGATGGTTATCTGTTTTCTTATGTCAAACTGTGGCTTTATAGTGAGGAAATGATAGTTATCTGTCAGCATTTGTATGTAAGTTAGTATCATTTGTAATTTCAGATTAATCTTTGGTGTTCAAAATAATATGTCAGAATTGTTATGCTAGTAAAGGTATTTTTTGGTGTTCTGGTGATAGTTGTCTACATCCTAATGTCACATAATGAGGATTGCAGTAATCTAACAATAGTTGTCTGTGTTTAGATGTTACATAATGAGGACTGCAGTAATCTAACAATCGTTGTCTGTGTTTAGATGTTAAATAATGAGGATTGCAGTAATCTAACAATAGTTGTTTGTGTTTAGATGTTACATAATGAGGATTTCAGTGTTCAGATGATAATTACCTGCATTATGCCAGAGTTTGTTTAAATAAATTTCATTTGCATTATGCCAGGGTTTGTACTGTTGAAAAAAATGGTTATATGATGTCTGATAATGATACTAAACTGCATTCTGGTATAGGGACTTCTGTTTGAAACCGAGATTATTGTTAACTGATGTCATATAAAGGGTCTTACAATGTTCAAATGATACAGGAGTTTGTGGTGTAAATGTTAGTTGTCTACATTCTACATCTACATTCACAATTGTATGTTTTAGTTTTCAAATGATAGTTTGCATTCTGATGTCCAGAAGTGCTAAAATATTGTTTATTATATCTCTGTTGTAAATAATTTTTATAACTTTCATAAAGTTTTGAGTTGA